CTATCACATATAATGATCGGATATTGTATTAGTAAATTCACAATAACGATTGACAAGCATTAATTTGGAGTCAATTCTTGAATGTGTGTAGTGGCGCGAAAAAAATTTTTTGAAGAAATTTTTAAGGATATTAAGGTTAGCGTATATATTAAGGCTGGATATTAGTAAAGTATATTGTAAATTCGCCCAAGAAAAGTTTTTTTTGTTAGAGCACTAAAGGTAGTTACGTATGCAGATTTTCGAGAAATATGTGATTTTGAATAAAACTAATGTTTGATTTGAAATTTCCTGATCGTTTACGTTACGCCTAATTCTGAAATACGATTCGTAGTTCAGGACAAGCGGCAATTTGAGGAATTTATTACATAAACAAGTTTATGATAATACGGCATCTCTGCTGCCAATTAGAAATAGCATAATATATGACCCGCTAGCTATTGATAATTTGATAATAAATAATAAATAGAATCAAAAAATAAAGTTCTAAATACTTAAAGCCTAATACACTAGCGTTCATAAGTAGTGCAACAAAAAAAAAATTTACTTAGATCATACTACCTCACGCAATTCCGGGATATCGGGTAGTTTTTTTTTTATTTTATTCACTAATACCAACGCTTTCATAAATAAAAAATAAAAAAATTTAATAAACAAAATTTTTCATGGGCAAGAGCTTTATTTCAAATGCCATGTTGCATTACTTATGCTCATTTTTGCAGCAACACAACTGTAAACCAAAAAAATTTTTTTTTACATAAAAAAAATAAAATTTTTTTTCTATTTAAAAATCCTTCACCTTTACCATCGGGTGTACCACCCTGAGCCCTAATTTCAGCATGAATTCAGTCTGGCATTGAACAAACTAGCCTTCTACAGGTTTCAACATCAGTTGTCTGCCAGACCTCTTGAATTTTTTGCCAAAAATCTGTCTTGTTCAAAATTTGTCCAAAGAGATTCCTCAACCAATAGTCAATTTCATTTTACAGGTTTTCAATCAGGTTCAGGTTGGGAATTGGGGCCAATCAAAGAATTTTACCTTATTCCTCTTAAGCAAACATTTCATCAAGGTTGCCATATGACAAGATGCTCCATCTTGTTAGAAAGTTATCTTCCTAATATCAAATTCTTGTTTTTTGATCATTGACATCAGGTCTTCATGAAGTATTTGCTAATACAAATTGCTGTCCATTGTGCTGTCAACCTTGTAGTAGCTACTAACACCACAAGCACTAAAGCATCTTCAAATTATAATTAAACTGCCTTCTATTTTATAGTAGACTTCACATGGAACTTGTTTAATGATTCTTTGTAATACTTCTAATAGTATAGCTTACCATTTGACCCAAAAATCTTAAATTTTGATTCATTGGACTAGATTACCTTAGACCAATTATTAATGGTCTAATTTTTATATTTCTTTACAAAAGCAAGCCACTCTTTTCGATGACTATATTCAGGTATAGTTTTTTTACCCTAACACTAAATTGTAGTTCAAGTATATAGCAAATAATAAACATCAAAATATATAAATTTTCATTTTTTTTGTGAGATAAGTCCTTACTTTAATAGTGATAAAGTACTTACAAGAAGTAATAAAATTCACTATTATTCTTTGGATTGGTTCACTTAATGAAATTAAGCAACCAACCTTTACCAAATCTTCAAGCAAGCAGTTTGTTAACTATCTTTTTTTAATTCATAAGACCTAGAAAAAGAAATATTAAAATCTAACTTACTGCTAAGATAGTAAGCATAAGGGCATATACATGCCCATGTGGGCATATGCCTTGGGCATGCCTATGGACATGAAATTTTTTTATATGCCTATATAGACATTAATATACTATATAATTAATTTTAGCCAATCAGATAATTCTTTTTTTTTTTAAAAAAAAGAAACTAATTTGGATATGCCCAAGGGCATGCCTAGGCATGTCTCAAGTATAATTTTATGTTCAAACTGGCATGAATAAATTTGTTTATACTCTCCACCCTACCTACTGCTCTTATTGTATACCTTTTCTTAAACAAAAGTAATCCTTGGGCTTATTTGACAAGAGTTATTTTACTCTTCTTTTTTTTGATTATCAATCAATTTTAGTATTGTACAAGATGCAAAATAAACAATGAGATTGATATTTTTATTATTTTTTACATTGCACAAATCATATAATTTGATCTTTGTTAAAAATAAACAAAAGTAATGCAATGTGTGTTTTATAATATATATATAATAATTTTTGCATTGATATTAATGATAATTGCTAAAATTCTAAAATTAGAAAAGGCACTACTAATGAATAAAATAAAAAAACTACCTGATATACTCAGAATTTACTTGGTCAACAACAATTTACCGAACTACAGTCAGCAATATAAGAAAGCGACATAGTGGACACAGCAATATTCTTGGTTTTGCGCTAAGCAAACTTGTTGTCAATGAAGCCTACAATATGTGAAACACCAAGAAGCGAGCGTATAAGAATATTAGGCAGGTTTGTGTATTAGGTCAAGTTTTTTTCATCTCAACGAACTTCCTTACATGTTTGGAATCCAAACTAGAAGGTTTATTCTAGAAGCAAGTAGAGCAAAGTCTCTAAGCAAGAATATCAAGTAAATATTTAGAAACTGGATTATATAACTGTAAAACTTACAAGATGAACCTCACATATTCTCATTGACCCTCTACTTTTTTTTTAAGAAAAATTTTGTAAAAAAGTGGGTGATTTAGCTTACCCCTTCAAAAGATCAACATATTGTTTACTTACCAAATCAGTCAGCATTGCTTACTTTTTATCCATCACAACAAACATGTAAATTCAAATGGAACATGGATATCTGGATTATGTGCCTTGGAAGTAGCAACCTGAACAAACAATGCTTCGAGACGAACTGTGCGAATTTCTGACTTCTCTATAGTGCCCGAAGCATGCTTTTGTTTATACTTCTATGGAAATTTAAACAAAAGAAGCTGGAGAGCTTATAGTGCTAGAGTACGGTGCTGATGTCAAAAAGCTATTTTTTTCTTTAGATTTTTGCTTAAATATACTAATTAGTTAAATTAGAATAAAGACTAATTTAGATAGTAGTATATAATTTTTACAAAGCTCCACATAGGCTTATAATTGTGATCATCTGGCGTGAGCAAGAGCCTATATTTTTCTTTTTCTCATTTTCCTTTTACTCCTTTAATTTCTTGGTTGTATCTTTTATCAGATTCCACTATATCTCTGTATTTTTTTTAGATTAGTTTTTTCTCTTTCTTTTTATTTCCCTATGAGAAGATGTCATCAGATTGGTGGTATTCTATTATAGGCCAGTGGGTTAGACAAGCTCTTCAGTTAGGGTATTACCCTATAGGTGTTATCTTGCCAGTGCAGCAGGTTACCAATGGGCGCTTTAGTAACCAGATAGGTAACCATGCAGTTAGTTATGAAGTAGTTGTGGGATGTCAGGATCTTAGTTTTAATATTAATAGTGATATATTTGTAATCTTCTATGAGATTGAACTTAGTTAAACATGATTACTAACATGATCTTGCCAAAGTGAAAAAAAAAAGATATACTCAGATTTGTGTAAAGTTGTAAGAAATAAAACCTTTTTGTTGTACTATTAATAACTACAAGTGTATAAATAACACTAATTTTAATATAAGCAATTTTTTTTGTTTGTTGTTAACAAAATCTTTATTACAATTTTATTTATTTATTTTAAAAAAAAGCTAGTAACAACTAAAAAAGAACTAGATTTTTGAGTGCTGCTAAAAGAAAATTCAAAAATATAAATATAAGATATATTTAAATTTTCAAATTTTCTTTTAGTGATACTTATTTGTACAAATTATTATAAGTATTTAAAACTTTAAACACAATTATATATACAAATCTAGTATAAAATTATATATAAAAAATTAATCTATATTTAATCTATATACTTTATAATATTTTTTATTTTGTTTTTAATTTAATTTTACTATTTACAAGTACTGCTTTAATAATATACTATTTAAGTGCTTCAATAATTAATCGAGTTTTGTTGTAAAAACTAGCTGTTGTATTGATATTCTGTAATAATATCTCTTAAACTATATATTTTAGTATACAAATCATATGCTAAAATTTTTAAAAAAAATTGTGATATAGAATAAAATTTTTTTAGCAAAACCTCTATTCTAATTGGTTATAATGACTTTTAAAAACATATATCACATAGCATACTTTATAGTTATGGTATAATACACTTCATATAGTTCAAACAAATGCAAAACTTCATCTAATAGCTGTGAAGTATGCTTTGTAATCAAACTTTAAGCTATTATAACTTTATAATATTGCTTTAAAAACTAATAATATGAAGAATTTTTTATCAACTTCAATATTTTATTATAAAAGAAACCTATATGTGATGATTGTGAAGAATCTTTATAAGTATTATATACAAGTTTTTTTTAATTTAAATTTAAATATCAAAGTTTTATTACAATCCTATTATAATCTATATTAAATAATTAATTTTTAAAATATAATAATAAAATAGATATTAAATAGTATTTAACATATAGAACATTTTTATTTTAGCTTAGAAAGTGGAGTAAAACCTAATAAAATCTTGAGTATAGATCTTTAAAAATTTAAGTATACAAATATATATGGCCTAACCTTAAGATTTAAAAAAAAAAGTATACAAATATATATACTATACAGTTTAAGGAATAATAGATTCTCTGATTTTTAGAATTTAGGTGAGTCTTTGACCACTCTAGTAGGTTTAGATTGCAGATAAATATATATGAGCTTTTATTCTTGCATATAATTTTATTTTTATTTGTACTTGTATAAGTAGTAGTATTTCTATATAACTTTTATATAGTTACTATTTTCAAAATTACTAATAAAGATATAAGCAATGCCTTACCTCAATACCAAAAAAAAAAGATGCTTTGATTTTTTGAGTTAATATATATAGTAACAAGCTATTAAATTTTAGTAAATTAAAAAACTCAGTTAGATAGTCTTTCTTGAATAGAATCATATCTTTTAGAGTTTTGATATGCAGCATTAGTACTATAATATATTATTTCTTTAAAAAATTTTGCAAGCACTTTTGTATTCAATATATCAACTTTTTTATTTCTTGAAACAAGTAAAATTGATATGCTATATATTGAAATAGTATCTGCAGCTTTAGTTATATAAAACTAATTAGATTCTAAAAATAATTATTTTTAAATATAATATCTAATAATAAAGAATATTATTACTATCTTATTTAATTTCAAAAATCTGTTTTTATTAAATTTTAATAATTAATTTAAAATACTTTTAAGTATTTATATTAGAAAAGCTAGCTATTTTTTGTAAGTATATATTGATTATTAATTTTTTTTACTCTAATATATTATTATAGAAAGAATTAATACAAACAGATACCAATAATATTTTTTTATCAAATTTTAAATTATTAGATAAATTTGCTAAAATCACTACATAATACAAAAACTTTTAATAATTTGGTGCATTATTAATTACTTTTTTTAACAATCTTCTAGTCAATACAATAAAACTAAACTACAAAAAAATGATATAGAAATATTCAAGACAGATAATATTCTTAGTTCTACTTTTAAGTAAACAGTTGTCAATAAAACTTGAAGATGTAAAATACTGAAGAGTAGGTATAATTAGACCATATAAAAAAAGTTTTTTGGTTTTTATAACCCGGCTGGGTCAAAATTTAAAAACTTGGAAAAATTTTTTTTATATATTTTAATAACTGGGTGGGTTTTTTAAAAAAAATTTATATAAAATTTAAAAAAAAAGCTGGTCGGCCAGGTCTGTTTAAACAGTTCTATATTATGAAAACCAAAAATTTTTTGTATAGTCTTAGGTAGTTTTTCTTAGAGTTAAGTTTTCTTTATTAAGCAAGAACTAGTTTGCTTACTAAGTAGATTGTTGTTAACAAAACTTAAAAAATATAAAATACTAAGGTAAAGGCATAGCTTGAGTAGTTTTTTTAGTTTAAGTTTTTTGTCTTCTCTAATATCTCTACAGTGCTAATATTAAAGAAGTTAGATTTTTATTATTAAAGTGTTTTAATTAAATATACTAATTATATAAATTAAAGTAAAGACTAGTTTAGATAGTAGTATATAATTTTTACAACCTGATATAAGCTTATAATTATAACCATTCAGTGTAAACAAAAAATCTCATATTTTTCTTTTTATTCTTTCTTTACCTTTCTTTCTTACTTGTATATTTTATCATACTTCTCTATACCTCTATATTTCTTTTAAAATAGTTTTTTCTTTTTCTTTCACTTCTTTATAAGAAAATATTATCAAATTGATGAGATCTTATTATAAAGCAGTAGTCAGATAAGCTTTTAGAGAGTATTATCTTAATTGGTTATATTTCACTAGTACAGTGTATTATTATAAGCATTCTGATAAAATTAGTTAGTTATAAAGTAGCTGTAGAATATCAAAATTTAAGATTTAATGTTATAAGTTGAAAAAACCTTTTTATTAAATAGCTTTTATTACTTAAAATATCTTGTAAAGTATAATTTTTAACTTCAAATATATAACAATATATTATTAAAGCTTTATTAATAAATAAAAAGCATTATTTGTTTAAAAGTTCTACAAATTCTAATTATACTACTATGTTATATATATAATTTTTAGAAAATTAATAAAAATTTTTAAATTAAAAATTATTATTTATCTACTATCAATTAGTAGAATAATAATTTTAGAGAATACAATAACAATAGTTATTGTAATTTTTTTTAAAAGTATATTTTTAATAATAAAATTAAATAAAAAAAAATTTTGTGTCAGTTAATTAGTTTTTAAAAAAATATATAATATTATATTACTTAGCTGTCTATAAGATATTATAAATATTTTTTTAATTATAGTTAAAAGGGATTGATTTTAATTAACAAATTTTGCAAGTAATAGTTAATTATAATTTAATACTTTAGATATTAAAAATTTTTTTAGTTGTTATAGTAAAATTGGTATATTAAAAAATTTTTTTATAGTCAAGTCTATTCTTTTTAGCTTATTATATTTATTAGATATATAAAAGATCACTAGTGCTCTTAAAGGTCTCAGATATAATATATGGATATTCTATAGAATAGGTGGGCAATATAAGAAATAAGCTTCACTAATGATTAGTAATCATTAATTTTTTAATATCAGAAATACAGAGTTGGCAGAATTTGTTTATCTATTCTATAGAACATCCTAATATATATATATATTTTATTTTAACTAACCTCTTTGGAACTAAGGCTTTATTCAAATATGGGTGAGAAGGCTCACAGTAGAACCTTCTATTATATTAAAAAAAACAAAAAGATACAACTAGTCACATATGCAACTTTTGGTTATCTATTTAAGTAGTCTACATATAGATAACTGTATACTATAAGTTCTATACTAGCTGCCATATCTATAACCTGACTAGAATATTATCTATTTAAACTCTCTGTAATATAACCCACTTGTGTTATTGGTACATCTTTGTTACATTTATCAGTCAAGAAATCTCAGATGCTTTTTTATACCTTTAGACTGATTTATGCTTAGAAAATTATTGCTAAAGCTTTCCATATTTACAATATGGCTATTCTAAACTTTGATAACTTATACTAAGTTTAAAGACAAGTATTTGTGAGCTGAAGCCACTACTGTTACCTACTTCTGTCTTTGTAGAGTTCATCCAAACCTCAACACCTACTATACGAACTATCTACTATTTCTTTAGTTTACCAAACTCCCAATCCTAATAGCTCAGAAGAGCAGACTCCTTACTCCGATTTTCATCAATAGTCTGGTTGATATAGTGTCTTGCTGACACCCAGTCTCATTCAATTTTTCAGTTTTTTAGTTAATAATCCTTTAAGAAACCTGTGAGAACAGAGCTAAAAGGTTGAAACTCAGAGTATATAATAAAAACTCAAAATGGCTAGATTTTTTTTTTAGTTTTAAGGTGACCTCTTGGTCGCTGTCTTTTTATTCGATTATTGTTAACTTTTACAGTATGGTATACACCATACCATACATATATTTGGAGAGTACAACTAGCCACATTTGCAACTTTTGGTTGCCTATTTAAGTAGACCCTTATTACTAAGTCCTATACTAGCTGCTGTATCTATAACCCTACTGAATTATCTATTTAAACCTCTGTGTCTATATATATTAATCTTCTAATCGAGTGAGAATACATTAGTACTCCCTTATTTTCAGATCTCCGACTTAGGACTTTAAAACAGACCTACCTATAGGGGTCCTTTGTCCTCGAAGTAAATTTGCTAGAGCCTTCTATATCCACATTTAGGCTGACCTAGACTTTGGTAACTTATACTGAGTCTGAGGACAAATACTTGCGAGCCGAAGCCACTACCATTACCTACTTCTGCCCTTATAGAGTTCACTTTACCCTAGCTCTAACTCATCTAATCAGCAACTCTTCTACTGTTTCACCAAACTTCTAATTCAGTTAGCCAGGTTTGGTCCACAAGTTATGTTACCCACTTTCCTACTAGCTTAACCCAGATATCAGCCTGTGCTCTTTTCCTCTGGTTGATTCTAACGGCCTGGTTGGTATAGTGCTTGCCAAACATCCGGTTCTTATTTGGATCCACAGCTTATTAGTTTTCTTCTCAAACTTTCCAGAGCTATCAAAAGTAGTGTTACCTCTCTACTCGGGATTTGCCAAGCAGATTCCTATTCAGGACAACGTCCAACGGATTTACACAGGTCTCGGGAACTTATCGTGGGTTTAAACTGCCTTTTATCAGTTTGTATCTCTTCGTATAACTCCTTTATTACACGAATGCCTCAAGATCTTCCAAGTCTGTACTACTACCCCTAATTAGAGCTTACAAGATAAGCCATCTGTTAGGTGATCATTATCTCTTGCACCTATTTGGTCTGACTGTCATTATAGGATCTACATCTCAACACCCGAATAGTCATCAATGCACAGAAGATTCGATTTTTCATCATTGGTGGGAATTGAACTCTGGATATATCACTTGGGGGTGACAACTTGACCACTTCACTAAGTTGCTACACCCTGAAATGGCTGGATTTACCGAGCTGGTAGTACAATTATACAAATCAGGCTTGTATATCAAAAATTGATAAAGGAACACTAGACACTAAAATTAGAAATATTACAGACCACAAGCCGCAACTAGGTCTAGATCTCTAGAGCCTTGTAACCTAAAATATCAGGGCACTAGAACACCATAGCTCAAATTATGGAAGAGAAGTAATACAAAACCTGCAATCTGAAAGTTATAGTGTAATCTATAATGCAACACAGTAAGCCTGCATCAATACATAGGAGTACCTACCTATAAGGTAATGGGAATCGGCAGTATACTAACTAAACTAGGCGTTAATAATAAGGCTTAACCTGAGCTAACATGAGTTCCTCTTCATGATACTATCTGAGCAAACTAGCTGAAGATAACTAAGATTGGAAGTAGCCCTTAAGGCTATAAAGCCATATCCTAAAAGGGACTATCAAATTTGAAAGCTTAGATATAAGTGGTATGAGAGATGCAGAGAATGACATTATAGGGAAGTGTACCAAAATAGGACTAGTGAAGGGTGGAAAAATACCAGTTAAGTGCTATCCATAAGGATGTACTGCTTTGGTAGGTTTGGATCGCAAATAATAGATCAGTGGCCAGATAGCGGATGGAAATATCTATTGCGAAGTGATGGTTTTGGCCAGAGCGTAGGTCACCAATAGGATCCAGGTTTGAGCTTGGTGTACTTGATATATGTAAATACAAAAATATAGAAAACATATAATGAAAGTATTAACAATAAATAAAGTCATGAACAAGATTCTACCTGAATACCAAAAAAAAAGCAAACTATCTATATAATACTAATTTTTAATATATTTTAAATATATTATTAGAACTACAAAATATATATTGCTTAAACCATTTCTTCTACAAATTTGTTTTGAAATTTTTTTGAAAATAAAATTTTTAAAATAAAATTCTAAATATTAACTTTAGCTATATACTTTTTAAGTAAAAAATATATTTTGAAATATACTTTAATAATTTTGTCAAGAAAAATTTTAAATATATTAAAAAACTTAAGAGTAATAAAGGTTTAAGGCTTTTATTTTAAAATTTTATTATAAAATTTTTTCTTTAAATTTTTAAAATTCTATATTTATGTCTATAAATTTTTTTTACTTCTGATACAAGTCTTATTTTTTACAAGTAAATTACAAAATTATAATAATAAAAGTTGTAATTCATTATTTAAATTATAATTTCTATTAAGTAACTATAGATCTAAAATTAATATTTAAAGAGTTAATCAAAAAATTATAAATTATTTTTTTGGTTTAAAATTTATATATTTTTAGCTTATAAGCAAGTTAAATTTTTTGTCTTATAATTTAAATATAAATTTTAAAAAAATATAATCCTTATTTTCAAATCTTATCAAAAAAAATTTTA